CCAAAAAAGAAAAACCTCTGCTGCTCCATGCAAGTAAAAAAAAAAAGATGAAGGCGGTTTTACAAAGCCAGATGGCCTGGAGGAGGGCCAGCCATCGAGAATCATCCCAAGATAAATCAGGTGTCATTGTGGACTGGGAGGCATGGTCTCATCTGCAAGTCAGGGCTATTCGTTGCATAATTTTTCACAAAAGCAGCCGGAGGTGAAAACTCTGACAGAGTCTCACATAAATAAATGCTGACAACGCAGGGTGTTCTTCAAGTAGAGAAAAAACCGAGTCACAGAGAATCGTTTCAGAAGCCATAAAACACAACGTGTGAAGTTAGCAGAGAAACTGATTGAAAAATGGTGTTGCTTTGAATCCTCTCAACAGCTGAGGATGTTGACCATGAATCATGTTTTATTCGCTTTGAAATAATAGTGAAACTCTGTGTAGCTGCAGATTTTTAAAATTCACATCTTGTCATCTCTCACATGGTATGACATCTCCTCTGGTCCTGATATAAATAATTCAAATTAGTTTTATTTTGGTAGGTGTACAATATGACAAAAACCAATAACTTGCTGAAAAAGGTGAAGGGTAAAGTCAAGGGTTTTGTTTATTTAAATCTGTAATACTTTATTTGAAGGGGTGCATAAGGCTGACACGACGCTGTCATAAAATATATCGATCTTGAACATGAAGGAGTCCATTTATGACTGTCATCATGAAGTGTTATCCGGTAAATAACGACATTTTCAAGTGACTTTTTATGCAAATGTTATCAGAACTTTGCATTAAAAGGGTCATTATTGACCATGTAATGCAAAGTTTACACTTTTAATGGACTTTTGATGCAACGTTCGGTGAAACTTCGCACTAAAATGTCATGTTTATGATAAAGTGTTACCTTTAAATCTAATATATAATACTTATCCGTCGCAGAAAGGCTTGTTAAGGCTCATATAGTTACAATAGATAATTTAATTAATTTACTATCAAGCAGTAAATCAGATGGATTTCCTCAAACATACAAAGTTATTTGTTCTGAAATTATCTGGTGGAGAAAATGCGTATCATGTTACTTTGAATCTTTTGAAACATAAACACTTATTGAGCTGTGTTCTCTCTTACAAAGAAGCAAATGATACTTCAATTCTTCTGTTTTTCTGCATCACTACACCCAGGAGGACTTTTCGTGTATTTGAAGATTTTATTGATTCTTGATGATGCAGAGAGAAACGGTTTTGTAACTCTGGGCTATTTTTGAGAAAATTATCATTTCATTTTACCGTAAACATTTCATTGTGAAGATAATACAATTTCAGTTCATACAGAAAGTTTTTAAATTACTTTGTTAGTATTTATGGTTCCGACAGACGGATCAAAATAAACTCAAATCAGTGTCAGCAGTTCAGTTTCAAAAAAATCTCTGATTGGAAATCAGCAAAGACCTTCCCTGATTAGCGCATCTCTAAATTATGTGAGCCAAATTTATCAAAACAACAACATAGCTGCTTTTGTACTGCTGAAAACTTTTCTTGTCAGCAGAATGACTGCAGAGAGAAGGAAGCAGCACAAGAAAAAACACAAAAACACGGAGGCGAAAGAGAACGTTAGTAAAGAAGAAGCAAAAATAACCAGATTCCAGTGACATTGGACACAAGGGGAATAAATATAACAATGTCTGCTTAATTCTGAGTGAGTCTTCAGCTGTAAACATCTCAGCCTCAGAGGACACAAAGTTACAGATTGGGAATTTTCTTCAACATAAAGCAACTAGTCTGGCAGTAGAGGTGAGTGGAAACATATATTTATATATATATTAAAAAAAGAAACAAGCTGAGTGGATGTCAGAGAGATTCTGTTATATGACCTGCAGCCAACTTTGTCCCTTTCCAACATCTGATGACCCAACTGTAGAGTAGGTCTGTGAATAAAAACACCTTTAGTGGCGACATATTGATTAGATCAACATGATTAGATTTACACTATGCAAAAAAATCATATTTGATTTAAAAAGGTAAGCTTAAAAATGTAGCTTAAAGCTTTAAAGTGATAGACAAACAACTTACAAGAAATTTGACTCTAATTGGATGTCTTAAAATTGGCCTCTGTCTCTTTAAGAAGCTCCTGGTATTTGTGACACTCTGCCTCCAGGAAGTCATAACAACAACGTTCCTCCTATAAAGAGGCAGTATTATGTGTTTTCTAGGCACATGGTGCCATTTAATATCCAAATCAACTACCTATGTTACCTTCAGTTATTATAAAATTCTATATAAAGTCTAAAAAAGACTTAAAAGAAATTTTATTTTGTAATTTAAAGTTTTGGAACTGGGTCTGTGTCTCTTTAAAAACTCCTGATTTTCTGAAACTCCACCTTCAGGAAGTCATCACAGCATGACTCCTCTACTAGCCCTTGTCCAAGCAGGCATTTTGTTTCGCTGAATTGTTGCCATAGATATTAAAGGATTTCTCAAACATGAATGGAAGAATCAAGGTATGTTTTGAAGAGGGAATAACATTATAACATGAAGTAAAGCTCAAAAATTGATTTCACTTAATACTCCCCCTTTAAAGAACTAGAGTAGTAATTTTCCTCTGGTTTATAGCATCCATATAACATATCTTAGTGCTTTAGTCATTTTTAACTTTTACTCTCTAAATTAATCTGCCACTTAATCCGATTCACAGTTTTAGCTTCTGCAGTGAGACGGTTGCCTGCGCTGCAAACAAGTCTCCAGTTTCCCCTGGTTGGCTCACATTCGCCGACTCCTCTGATGCCTCCCTCCCGACACTTTGACTGACACTTTCATGAAGTGCTTGTGCATTAGCGATCCTGACGGGTCGGAGGTGTACATGGAGGCGGCAGAGGGGGCTGCTGCCTATCTCAGTCTCCTATTACAGACGACAGGCTGGCAGACAGGGAGAGGACACAGGATAGCCTGTTGATGGTGAATGGAGAATGAGCCGTACGGATCTGAGAGTGTGTGGAGAATGTCAGAGCAGACGCCTGGTGATCCCGTGAAATACGGGGCAACGAGGTGGAGGTTCGAAGACGCAAACAGGTTTAGGTTTGCAGAAAATAAAAATCAAGCTGGAGACGTTCCGACGTCCTGTCCCAGTCTGTGCAATCTCAGATTTGTTTCAGACCAAATCGTTTTTTTTTTGTTTTGTTTTTTGCTTAAAAGTATTCACAAAATATGTTTAAAAATTAGGGCAGCACAGTGGAAGGACTTGCAGCAAGAAGGTCCTGGGTTCAATTCCCAGCCCGGGGTCTTTCTGCACGGAGTTTCCATGTTCTCCCTGTGCATGTGTGGGTTCTCTCCGGGTACTCCGGCTTCCTCTCATATCCAAAAACATGACCAAATTCTCCCTAGGTGAGAGTGTGTCTGTGCGTGGTTGTTTGTCCTGTTTGTTTCTGTGTTGCCCTTCGACAGACTGGCGACCTGTCCAGGTTGAACCCCTCCTCTCGCCCGGAACGCAGCTGGAGATCGGCACCAGCACCTCCGAACTCCACTTGGGACATCGGTGAACAGATAATGGATGTTTAAAAATTGGCTTTTATTTTAATCATCCCTTCAAAGAGTTAATGATGGAGCACCATCACCAGACTTTTTGTTTAACCAGTAGGATATTATCAAACACAGCCGCATCCCCAACTCGCATAAACCGCACAAACCAAACCCACACAAATATGATACAGGAACGCGATGCACTAGAAACAGCAGATCTGAGTCACACGACGACCAACACATCGCGCACAATGCAACACACACATACACGCTAATGCCTGCATAGTCCACCTTTTTTTTTTATGACAAATTATATAAAGTAATAAAGTCAGAAAAGCTGTTAGGTAGGCTTTACTTAGGAGGATGTGAAGCAACAATGTTTGTCAAAAACAGTAGAAATTTAGCAAATGTTTTGACTAGATTTAACTATTTAACTCTCCCAGTAGAGCGTGACGCAGGTGAAGAGTGCGGCAGGTGTCACGGTCGGCCAGTGGAGAAGCGACGGGGTGTCCCTGTCAGCGCGTTACTTCCCGAACAAACAAAAAAAAACTTGAAAAGCGCAGGCCGCACACAGGATAAAAAGATCTGGTGCGGTTCTTAAAACTTTGTCTCACATTTAACTTACAGAAAGAGCACCAAGCCGCCAAATAAAAATAAACTGACCAATAACATTTAGGTGTAGGACGGACATGTACCCACTCCCCCAGACGCAAGCAGATGTGAGCTACAATATTTATTTTGTTTACTCAAAGGGAAATCTCAAGGTGTGCACAGTGCATACTGCCGCACAGCTACAGGCGTCTCTGATTACAAGAGAATAGTCACAATACTAGCAGAAAAAACATCTTAGAATAAAAAGAAGAGTTTTAATTCAGTGTTGTCAAGATGTGATTCTTTCTTCAAAACAGACAGTTGTTTGCATATCATTTTAAAGTCCTGATAATAATTTGATGCTGAAGTGTTAAAGTATTTCTGTATCAAGTAAACATTTTTCATTTTAATACTTGGGTATTTTTCTTGTTTTAGTTCTCATAAAAGTTCTACTTCATTCTGGTAATATTTTGACTATTCCTGTTATATTATCCAGTTGTAAGGTAATTTTATTTATATATAACATTTTCAGCAAGAAGCCATTTGAAAGTACCTTACATGAATTAGAGGAAATGCAAACAATACAAAAAAAAAACAGAAGAAAAGCAAAATAAAAACAAAATAACTTAACCTATTAATAGTTTCTCTAAGGAATAAGAATAAGAAATCAATAATTTATAAACGAATAGGCGTTTCTCTCAAAGTCCAGATAAATCAAAGCTTTAAAGCATGTTTGTCAAACAAGATGGCGGCATTCTGGCAGAACAATGGGAACAGTACATTACTGAAAAATAATCCAGATTTTCCACAAATTGAATTGTCAAAAACCAAAGAATGGATAAAATCTATTCATCCAACAGCCGTTGTGCAAACTGAGCAGCTCTTAAAAATGTGTCTGAATGTTATCTTACTTGGATCAAAGTGCCACTTATGACTCTCTGATGAGATGACGAACTCCGCCAGAACAGAGATCACTGCGACGACAAGGAGCCGCGTGGTTGTGGAGGCCATGACAGCAGGAGCGCGCCCGATTACGTGTCCGGAGACACACTGACGACCACAGGCATACCTGCCAGAGAGAAACAGAGGAAATTCAGACACATTAAACCGTTTAAATTGGTCTGAACGCAGGTGAATCACAAGGCCTTTTAGCTTTAATTTCCACACACATGTACACACACACAGCTGTAGCCCGAGGCGGCTGATCTCTCTGGCTCGACATCACCATTAATAACTCAACTCTCCCGATCATATCCTCTTATTCCAAAGCACTTCATGTGCCTCGCAATCAGTTGTTTCTCCACATTTTGAGGCAGAGCAATGGACCAACCCTCTCAGGAGCGAGCGCACAGCCATAAAGAATAGTTTCACACACTAATTTGTTTGTCTCTCTGGCACTGAGACACGGTGACACAATACAGCTTTCCTGCCTTTAAAAAAATGGCAGCAAACAGTTTTGGAAATGAGGAAGGTATAATTAAGGGATCTTTCTTTATTGCAGACAGAGGTATTCATCCTGTGGTTGAAACGTCAATCATTTCTCTAAATTATTTTCCAACCTACTCCCTTCTAATGGGAAGGAGCATTTTTGGAGCACCTAGTTATGGATCCATGTTTGCAGTGAATACCAAACAGATGAATCAATAAGAGGGGAGTAATAAAACAAATAAAAAAACACCAAGTAACAACAGCTCCTGGTGCATGCAAGTCTCTGCAACGTTACAAGCACCCAACAGCAAAACAAATCATTGTCTTTCATATTGGACACTGCTCTTAAATTGCCTGAAACCCTTTGGTTTCTTATCTTTGTTCCCTGTAGACTGCGAAAACAACAAAAGATCCTAAACTACAAATAAAACCTTCACGGCAGACACAAACAAATTTAGCCACATTGACTCAGAAACCAGAGAAAAACCTGAAAATGGCATTGAAGAACTTCTTTGAAATACGTGTTGCTGTGATTATCTCTGCATCAAGGCAGCAGGTACTGATAATTCATGGGCTCAGTCGTGCAAACAACACAAACATATTTGTGAAAGCACCAATCAAGTTGTTTCTAATGCAGTATTTGACAATCCAACAACAACAAAAAAAGAAATAACAGGATTAAATCAACAGCTTCCTCCTCATTAACAAAGATGCACACGGAAAAACAGAAAAGGGCAAATAGCAAAAGGACAGGAGGCAAAAACAGAAAAGGGCAAATAGCAAAAGGACAGGAGGCAATAACAAAAGAAGGAGGGCTTGTATAAGGAAAAGACAAACAAAATATATACTTTTCTTGACAAAAACACATGTTTAGGGGAAATGAAAAAGAAAATATATACATTTCTTGACAGAAACTCATGTAAGGACAAGGAAAAACTAAATACATATTTATGCTTTCATTTCTTGTTTTGTCAGTTTTGGTCCTCCACAGCATGTGACCAATCAGAAAAGACTTAAAGTGTGTGAGTTCAAGCCGAGCATCACACACAGTGAGGCCTGTGAGTAGCTGCAGAAATATACAGCAAATCATGAATATTTTATGTGTAGTACCCTGTCCCAGTAAATCAGCCCAGTATTGGCTCTTTCGTGTAAACACAAACATGGTGTGTCGGCACCAATTAAACTAGTTCAGAGCATTACAGTAGAATAATACAGCAGCAATACATCCTCCATTCATGAAGGCCTCAATGACGACTTTGTGCTGTAACTAATTTAGATGTGTTGATTCAATGAAGCTTTTTATCTTTGAGGAGACTGTAGCTCCATTAAACTGTTTGTTGACATCCTAAAGCGTTAGACAACAAAACAATGAGGTTTTCATAAAACTAAGTTCAACTCCAGGATAAAACTGGAGAATTTTATTAAATGCTGACTCTCTAGAATACCTTGAATATTTATTTACTTATTTTTTGGGGGGAAGTTAAGGGGGAAAATTCACAACAAGTTAAATAATAATAAAGAAATAGACGGTTTTAGTAGCTTAGATTCTTGCATATTAAAGTCGATCTGTTATGCTTCCTTGAACAGGTTGGGATGTATATGGCCTAGACAAAACATTTTTTATCAGTTCTGATTATTTTGTGCTCTTTCAAAATGGGATGTTTTAGAGCGTCTTGTCTCTTTAAGTCCAAATAAGCTTCGCTGGCCACATAAAGATGCAAAACATTAAGTGTAAACCTAATGTTTACATACACATGTGAAAACAACTGTACATCTTTGAAAAGTAGAAGTGGAGCCTCCTGCACAACCAAGGAGAATTCAGCAAATTTCTAGATGGCAAGACAATAAAAGCCTTGTCTTTCAGAACAATCGTTGTACAGAACACACAGCAAAAAAACAACTGACCAAATGTGCTGGAGTCCTGCCTGAGTTGCTAGGTAACCAGCTTCACTGCCCACACCCTTCAACTCAACGTTTACACTTGATCATGAAAAGGGCTGCAAACAGATTACACAACTGTACATCTTTGAAGAATAGAAGCGGAAGAATAAAACATCCAAAAAAAGGGAAGTCTCCTTTAAGAATAGCCCAGTTTAATCTATAAGCTTAGATCTCCTCCAGCTGTGAGCAACAGTTCAACTCTCCATTTGGTTTCTGCAGCTGTCAGTCAACTGCGTACGCTGCCCGACAGAAAGGGAACCTCCTGAACTTCCTCCTTAATTAAAAAAAATGTCTTTTTAATGTGAAGTTGTTATGTTGTCATATCCATTTCCCTAAAACAATGTGCTCCAGATTCATCATCGATTTAGTAACACACTAAAATGAGATCTCCAGAGTCCTGGTGTACAAGGAGGTGAACAGCAGAAGTAAACATACTGACTTGTTTTTGATCAAACGTTGCACTATCGAAGCCGTTTTTACTCTTTCCAAGAGCTACAACACAACAAGATAAATTATTCATATAAGGAAGAGAGGGTTTTTTTTTTCAAAACAAAGAAAATGATTTAACATCGACTATCCAGCAGCCATCATTAAAACGTTGCTCTCTATCCAGCAGCCATCATTAAAACGTTGCTCTCTAAGGGCCGGCTGTGAATTTATACTTTAATTTCTAAAAGGCTGCCAACACATTTCATGAGAGGTTCAAGCCTCAAAAGGCTGAACTCCATTATCTCTTTCCTGTTGACAGCCTCATTCTCTCAACTCGAAAGACCTACAGACAGACCTGCTCATCCTGCAGAGTTGAGGGTGGAGGGGTTGTTTGTTCAACAACAATGCACACACATGCTAAGAGACAAGTGAATCTGCACCAGATTGATCCTTTGATGGAGACCAAAAATCATGAAATGATGAAACAGTGGGAGAGCAAAATGACCCACTAGCACATCTGTGCATCAAAGTTGTAAAAATATTCTACATTAATGAACTGACATTTTTAATAGCCACAGTAAAACCAGATTGGTTTCTCTTTTTAATTAAAACCATACAAATCATATTACTGTGTGCCAACCATATAACTGTGGTGTTTTTGCTCAAGATTATCATTTAAAGGTCACCACTGTACGTGTCCGGCTTTCGAAAACATTTTAAAAACGGCTCCCAGTGGTTCACAGAGAGAAACCTTGTGATAAGTGGAGGTCTTGGAGGGAGTGACAGCTGGGATAGCGAGAGAGAGAGCGGCCAGACTTTCCTCCCTGCAGACCCTCCGTTTTCCAGCTTCATCTTGGACTCCAACAGGCTGACAACTGACACACAGCTGTAGCGACAGGGGATCCTTTGAGGAGGAGGGGGCGGTGGAAACGGGGCGAATGGTAGCTGAGGCGCAGCAGTAGGGCGGAGGGCCGGCAAACCGAGAGCAGCGATGACATGAGGTACATGTGTGAGTATTTGGGCAGGGGGGGGAAGCGGTGGAAAGATGGTGACTTTCCACAGGCAGGGGAGCGATTATTTGGGCATGGAGGAGCTGCAGCTGTCCAGAACGGGAGACACAATGCAAGATTAATGTGCTGCATGTGTCACAAGATCAGTGAAACAGGGAAACATGTCGTCAATAAGCTAAAATCTGTAAAAACACAAAATCTTACCAAGGATTTTTGGTCTAGTTTATTGTGCAAATATCATAGCACACTGTAAATAAAACAAAAAGTAACTTTTCAGCATGATGTAGGAGATTGTGTTCAATCAACAATTCCTTAACATTAATGAAAAATTCACTAGTTATAAAGTGTTGTTCCACATAAACATGAAGGATTTATTCCACTAGGGACAAGGGCGTCCAGAAAATGGATGGATGGAATATGGAAAAAGTATCTTGTACTACAGGAAGATTTTTCCCTTTATACTTGTGGTGCACTAATTTATCGGCATAAACACATTTGAGCTAAACACATACTCTATATTTAAATACAACATTATCATATAAAACATGAATTGGGTGACTCAATGTCTTGTTACTGTATGGATATTAGAGTATGTATAAAATGCATTTATATATATTTAACTTGCTTCATCCTTGCTTATTGGGTATATGTATTTTTTTCTCATTTTTGAGGCTTAACAAAAAGCAATAAAACTAAAACTTATGCTTTTTCAATCATATTAAGGAATTATTGAGTTTCACCTTATTGTGTGTGTGTCTTGTGTTTTTCAGTGTGTCCTGTCAGACACATGATGAGCCTAAAATCTGAGGCAATAACCAAAACGACCAGCATGACATCAACAAACCGTTCCCTCCACCGAGTCTCATCAGCGTTTCGTCATCAAGGAAGCGAACTTTCCCCCCAGCGGCGCGTCGAGACACAAAGACATTGTAAACATGAGCACAGAAACCAACATCCTGTTTCATCTAGCAGGAACAAAAGTGGCCGCAGCCATCTGAGAACGCTGTTGTTGGAAAAGTCAAGTGGTGTTGAACAGCTGTGGTTAGCGCTCCGCGGGAAGGAGAAGGGCCGGCTGTGTTCTGGAGGAGGCGGAGGCGGCCCGGTCCACATTTTGTCTCCACTAATCCAGGAGCGGGACGAATGAATACTTATGAGCAGCTGCTGTTTCTGTCCCCCCACAACAAAACGCTGCTGACGAGACGGACAAAGCCGGGAGCAGGAAAAACAGGCGGGGAGGACTGATACAGATTGCTGCCATTGC